CACTGTAGTCATGTGACTCGCTGACGCAACAATATTTTTACATTTAAACCAGTGAAAATTATAAATAAATAAACAAGAAAAAATCAAAAACAAGTCCCGAGCACCACTCAAAAACAGCAATGCAGAAAACCACTGAGTAACTTTCACACCGGGAAGTCTCTATATGTCTTTTACACTCAGTCACTTCCGTCATTAACTCAACAACTGGATATAACTGTTATACGGAACTTTTTAGGTGTAAAATGAATACAAAATATTTCAATATATATATAAAAGCAGTGAGTAGTATGTGTAATCATATAGAAATACGGACTTTACGGCCAAGTGATACGGTGACGTATTATGTATATAGCTCTTGTAGAAACATTTTTACTCAATATTTTCTTCTTTAAAACGCTAGCTACATACGCCCTCCCCCATCATACAGCGATTTAACCATTTCTTTGTATTCTCAGAAGCCGAGCTACAAATGAAATTTATATTGGATATATATCGTTTTCCTTTACACGTATTTTTTTTTTCTTTTTTCATTTTGTCTCTCACTGAGATGCAATATACGTTTTTTTATGTTCATCACGCTCTTCTATTGATAGATTTTGGACAACGAATTAACAACTTTTCTTGTCAAAAGTAAAAAGAGAATTTAAAGTGCAACAATAATTTACTCTTAACTTTTATACAAGGAAATTTGTTCGTCCACCTTGTGTGGTTAGACACTACTGTAAACCTGTTGAGCGAGCTTTAAAGTGAACCATAATTGTCAGTTAGTGATGTAAGTAATAGAAAGATAAAAAACGAACAGCAAACGAAAAACACTTTGAACCATACTGTCTCACTAGATTGCTACTACTACGGTGCATCACTTAAATATCTATATTATTTGGACTATCAATACACACAATACATACATATATAAATACATACACATACATATATAAATACATACATATATGTCTATATTATTTGGACTATCAATACACACAACACATACATATATAAATACATACACATACATATATAAGTACATACATATATATATATATGACACCTAAGTGGCTCAGCGATAAGTTTGAGGGCTTGTAAAGCTAAAAATCGAATTTCGATATCTGCGTTGGGCACAGCAAAGATATCGTTTGTGTAGCTTTGCGCTTAACAACAAATAAATATACACACACATATACGTAGTATACACGACATCACTAAACAGTCATCGGTGGTTTAGTTGAATGAATTGTTGTTTAACAATATTTGCATGTGACTAATTCAAAATCCTATAAATTTACTTTTTCACTAGGAAAATTAAACAAAAATATAATTCTCGCTTAATCCTCAATTTTTTCTTCCTTTCACTTTAGGTTATGGCAACATCGCTCCCAAGACATCATGGGGCAAAATGGTCACTATCCTCTACGCCATTATTGGAATACCGCTGATGCTTCTATGTTTGTCCAACATCGGGAATGCAATGGCACATTCTTTTAAGTTCATCTACTGGAAGGTTTGCTGTTTCCTCTGCGTTAAGCCACACAAAAGGCGAAGAGAAACCAAATCTTCCTTTCGTCAGAGCGCTCGTTATTTGGCTGGCCGGAACCCTCTCTCGGACTTTGAAGACACTATGAGTGGAAGTAGTTACCATACTGCCCCAGGAGATGGTTTATCAGGGAGAGATTACACTTCCCATTCCCCTACTTCTCCCACGTCTCCTACTTCTATCGGACGAAGCACTCCCCGTTTTCCAGCATCCCCACCATTATCCCCCACTCGAAAAATACTGTACAATGACCCTGATGACACCAAACAAGCGCCGGTGATAACTAACAAGTACGTGCTGCAGGGTAGGGAGGATTTTCTTTTGGGGTCTTCTACATCACCTAGGGTTCGAACCGAGCAGCCTAGTTTATACAGCCAACCAAACAACTCTCATCGTGTAGACCAATGTAGTTGGGGAAACCGTCGTCAGGGGGAGCCAGCAGATCTGGACCTAATGGAGGAGGAATCTGGGTCCGAGGATAGCGACGATGGAGAAGAAGTCACTGTTCCTATCTGGCTCTGCTCGGCAGTTGTAATTGGTTACATTTGTGGCGGAGCGGTACTTTTCACTATATGGGAGGGTTGGAACTTTTTAGATAGTTCTTACTTTTGTTTCATTACTTTAACAACTATTGGGTTTGGAGATCTAGTCCCGGGCACAGCCGTTTTATCCGAAGATGCCCAGTTGACCCTTGGTTTGTGCGCCCTCTACCTACTATTTGGCATGGCCCTTTTAGCGATGTCCTTCAACTTGGTACAAGAGGAGGTCACGAGGTCTGTAAAGTGTGTGGGACGGAGAATCGGAATACTCTCGGAAGAAGACGATGACGACAACTGAAGCTAAACCCGTTGTTATTTCAAGACACCCGGATGTCAAGCTCAGCAGTTTGATATCATTGCTAGCTGAATGATTTCGTCACGAGATACGTAGCATCCGTGAAATAAAAAACCAATATTGCGAGAAAGGGTAATCAACATGTAAAATGTTAGTGGAATGTTGTGGGCTCCAGGCCCGGATGTGTAAGGAAACTGATTAGCTGTAAAAGGCAATAAACATAAGAGTAATCCACAAGATGTAATATATGTAGCTGAAAGTCTGATTATTTACTTTGTAACAGTAAATTACATAGAACACGATCGTTCCATTTAGTTAGCATTTGACAGTTTGTTTTCCAATGCATATTCATACAAACCACTCTCCCTGTTTTAAGGGGCCCAGCGTGGCCAGGTGGTTAGGGCACTCGACTCGCAATCTGCGGGTTCGAATCCCCGTCACACCAAACATGCTCGCCCTTTCAGCCGTGGGGGCGTTATAATGTGACTTTTCGTTTGTAAAAGAGTAGCCCAAGAGTTGACGGTGGGTGGTGATGACTAGCTGCCTTCCCTCTAGTCTTACACTGCTAAATTAGGGACGGCTAGCGCAGATAGCTCTCGTGTAGCTTTGCGCGAAGTTCATAACAAACAAACTGTTTAAGGTATCAAGCGTAAAGCCAAGCTACAATATGACTGGTAACATTTTGAAACACTTTACTCTTAATTGGCCCATTACAGGTTAGACACACTAAAATATTTTCTACTGTTTTCTAATATTTTCACAAACACCAGTAAACATTATGGCTTTCTTAATTTTAGAACGTACAAGTTTATGTTTATAATATATACATATTTTTTCATCATTAGAAACTTTACAGTGTCTTTCAGTGGTTCTGCAATAGATTTACCAATCAAAATCTCAATATTCTTAATAGACCCATTTTGTTTAGAAAGAAAAAATATATATAATTTATTTATTATTTGATTGTTTTATTTTTTAGCTTACCCTTCATGTTTTCTAACATCAGACTGAGCTGGGCATAGATTATGGATTAGCGTGCTGGGCTGCGTATCAGTAAATCTGAGGTTCACTCCGCGATACTGCTGAACATGCTTCCTATTTTCAGTTGTAGGTATGTTGTAAGAGTAACAGTTAATCCCGATATTCAGTTCAAACTATTGTGGCCACAGATGATACTGACTAGCTGCCTTCCCTCTGATCAGCATTTCAAAAGTACCAGAATCATAGGGATCCCTCACTTAGCCCCTTACTCCATGTGCGCATAAGGTACCGTTCGTGTAGAAAATATCACCGTGTAATACGATAGAACTTGAAGTGTACTTGAAAAGTGGTAAAAAGGCAGCAAATGAAAGTTAAAATTACGAACAGGTCCTATAAAACCTGCTAATGAAAATAGGGTTCACAAACAGGTGCTAAAAAGTAACCAGTGAAGGTGAAGCTCACAAACAGGTGCTAAAAAGTAGCCAATGAAGGTGAAGCTCACAAACAGGTACTAAAACGTAGCCAATGAAGGTGAAGCTCACAACCAGGTACTAAAAAGTAGCCAATGAAGGTGAAGCTCACAAACAAGTTATGAAAATATGTAATCACGTTAAAATGTCAAATATGTTAGGTACTTACGGAATTTTAAACATGTCATATACTCCAGAATGTTTAAGCATGTTAAATAACCCAAACATTTTATATATGATAAATAATTCAAAAATTTTAAGCTTGTTACATCATTGAAAAATTCAAAACAAATTCGTTAGTCTAGAAATTATAAGCACATCAGATAATGTCATTACAGATAACCCTCTAGTTATTATATTGTTTCTGTTTGTAGAGGAAAATCTCAAAATGACGAACATTAAGCCTAATTGAGCGTAAAAAATTCAAAAGTGCAGCTCTATGGCATTGATACAGTCCGTTGATTCAATACGTTGTGACACCAATAACAAGGTCATAACGCATTGATTTAATACAACACTATTGGCTACCGATGTTGAAGTGGAAAAAGGTGTGTATGTGTGGGGGGGGGATGTTTAAAATTTCTTCATTTTCAATGAATAGATTAATGACTGGACAAGTGTTAGTTTATATGATCAGTACATTATAAGACTAGGAGTTGATGGGTAATGTTTACACAGTTAACACATTATTGAACTAAGAGTTGATGGGTAATGTTTATACAGGCGCATTATCATACAACGAGTTGATAAGTAATGTTAACATCAGACAGCACATTATTAGACCTAGAATTGATGAGTAATGTTTACATAGTCCGCACATTATCAGCTGACGAGTTGAAAGTTAAATATACAGGCCCGTACGCAGGATGTGTGTAAGGGAGGGTGGGGGTGGGTGGTTCTAATTTGCAAGATCAAAAATCAAAAGCTAATACGTGCTGTGCAAAGCACAATCAGCGTGCATTGCATAACTATATGTGCATAACTTTTTACATCACAAAAATAGAAGGTTCGGCCGAACCCTCTTTGCGTAGGTGCGTGATATTTATATAGTCAGCTCATTATCAGACCAAAAATTTGATAAGTAATTTTTATATAGTTAGAACATTATGTCAATCTAAGATCTGAAAACTAATGTTTAGGTATTCATCACATTATCAAATTAAAAGTATAAGTAGTGTTCTATATAGTATATATATACTGTCAGATTATCAGTTGGTAAGTAATGCTCATATTGTACGTATTCTGTCAGATTATCAGTTGGTAAGTAATGTCAGATTAAGAGATGACAAGTAATGTTTATATAGTCCGCAATGTATCAGACTAGAGTTGGTAAGCAATGATTATATTACAAGTACACTGTCAGATTCAGAGTTGTAAAGTAATATTTATATAGTCCATCCTTTATCAGACCAGAGTTGGTAAGTATTGATTATATTGCAAGTATACTGTCAGATTCAGTGTCAGTACTTTGACAGTTTGTTTGTTTTAGAATTTCGCGCAAAGCTACAAATGGGTAGATGATCGTCTTTACTTATCTGTAATCTAGCTTGTCCAAGACTATCTGGTCAGAGAAACTTATGATGACGAAAGGAAAGTGAAGTTCGATTTCACAAGTCAATAAGGTAGAGGTAACATGATAAATTAAGCTAGGAAACACTTATTACGGTAGCATCTCTGGTAGTAAAAAAACAAACAAACAAGCTTACCAAGGAAAAATAATAAGTTAACAAAACTATGCGTAAGACCTTACGAAGGATAAGAAGTGAAACAATACAATTGAAGTTAAGAACATCTACAATGATGTAAAGAAAGAGACATAGTCTCAGTGATGACAACTCAATGGTGTCGGATAGAAGCGGTGACAATGGAGTCGAGAGTAAGAGGATTTCGAGAGAGATAGAGAATGAAAAGAAAGAAAGAAATGATAGAAACTGGTCAATAAGATACGTAACATAACGTCTCTTATCAAACGAAGAGTGAAGTTCCATGTCCACCCATATGCTTTCTTTCAACTTCATCAAGGAATAAATTCGATAATTCAAGAAAAAAAATGGACGCAAGATTTGTCTGTTTGTTATTAAGCACAAAGCTACACAATGGGTTATCCGTGCTCTCCCCACTGCGCATATCGAAACCCGAATTTTAGCGAAGACTTGTTGCTGAAACACCACAGGAGGCAAAAGGAGGGCCAAGAATTTTAATTCATGGTATAATTAATTGATTGAAATTTAAATTATAACAAAGGTATCATTAATTAACCTTAAATAGCATTTTCTGGAAAGAGATGAGCATTTTTCTGGTCTGTAACTCATTAAAGTAAGAATAAGACCAGTAGCATTCTAATCCAGTTCGAAATGAATTCCTGTTAAGTAAGTTCTTCCTAACTGAACGTTTTTCAGTGAAGTGTAAGACTAAATATTACTACTACAATTTTTGTTTATAACTTTATAAATCGTTTCTCCGAACTATTAATGATTAGGTAATAGTTTCGGTTATTTTTTTTGTAAAAGATTAAAATTATCCAGTTTTAAAACATTATGAGTATTGTTAGTACATTATTACGAAATGATATTATGAGCTGCAGTTTTAGTAAAACATTTATAAATGTGTGCAGCTAGAATCAATTTGTTTGTTGAAGGCTATCTGCATTAGCCGTCTCTAATTTTGATATGATAGACTAGAGGGAAGGTAGCTAGTCAACACCACCAACCTTTAACTACCCTTTACCGACGAATATAGGGATTGACCGTCACATTATAATGTCCCTACGGCTAAAAATGTGAGCACTTTCGGTGATGGGATTCGAACCCGCGACCCACAAATACGAGTCGAGCGCCTTATCCACCAGGCTCCTGGACCCAATAGCCTTAGTGTTTGTAACATAAATCATTTTAGTAATTAAACCAATTCAAATTACGAAAACACCTAAATAATAAACTTATTGGGTAAAATAAGAGGTAATGGGTACAAGTTAACCTCAAACTCAGATTCGCTTCACTTTTTATTGAATATTTTTATGAATACGTTAGATGAATTCATCCAAACGTTTTAGTTACTTTTTGAAAATGCTCTGTTCTTGTCAAGGATAAGAAGAGAGTAAATATATATATATATATGTTATTGATAAATGAAAGACCACTCTTTGAAAGTGTTTGTTTCGGGTGAGAAAAAGACCACTCTTCAAAGCACCTGTTTTAATAGAAAAGAGATCGCTTTTCTCAAGAACTCTAGCTCTTTGGTCATATTTGGGCTATTTTCAATAACTTTGTAGTGATTCCAAATATCTTCTCATTTCAAATGGATGAACAGTTTTTATGCTTTATATACAAGTACGAATATAAAATTTCAGGTGAATTTAGCATCATCAAAATACTAAAAACGCTTCATGAAAATAATAAAGAAACCCAGAACACATACACATATGCATTTACAGAAACAAGGTTAATGCGTAAAACCTTCAAAATATAGGTTTCACGTGAAAAATCACTTCTAGACTAGAATGTCATTATACATTGCAGCTTAATTCTCGAATCCCAAGAATCGGTGACGATTTTAGGATCTACATGCTGAGGAAGAAAGACAAGTTAGTATTTTGGGGCTCCCCAGGATGCTATGATTATTTTAAACATCCCGTGTCATTTGTCAGTTAATGGAATAACCCTTGATGACTTCTGTTGAGGGTGAGGCAAATGTCCTCAGATATCGTCGCTTGGAATTGGTTGTTTTTAACGATAGGGTTTTATGATTTTTTTTCAGTTTTATTGGATTTAACTACCACAAATTATTGGA